AATGCTCCCAAAAATGGCTCCACAGCAGGTAAAAATATGATATAAGCTCTGGCGGACTTGGTTCTATGGTAGGTCTTAAAGGGTTAATATTATAAATTAGTGTCCTCTTAAGGGGGTCTGGGCTCAGGCTGGCTTGCAAGGGGCCAGTTAAGGTAGTCAGGGCAAAAAAAAGCGGTGAGGTGTTTCGGAAAAGTTCTGCTAGAAGCAGACCTCATGAGGCAGGCTGAGGACACACCGGAGAGATTATGTCTCTCGGCTGACTTGAGAATGCGTCAGTATCTCACGAGAGCTGGAGGAGGTGGTGGAGATTAGACTGCTGCTCCTCTGACCCAAACCTGGATAAATGGCAGAAAATGGATGGATGGATTTAATTTTGGAAATGCTCTGATTTAGTGATAGCAGTTAATCATACTATTGGCTGGAGTAGTTTAGATAGCATGGGCTCTGTGGAGAAACTCCCTGCTTTCCTCTTCTAATTTAAACCGATTTCAAGCCACATCTGCGGGAGACAAATGGCACAACAGGAAGTGAGTGAGAAAAGATCGCAATCACAATCTCCTGAGCACATCGTTCCAACCTATAAAGTCAAACTGCTAACCAGCACAACATGCAAACGCTGTGTTTGGCTGTGCACGTGTTGCCGGTAGTCCCAAAATCCCATTTGAATAAATATAGAAGCAGGTATGGAAATCCATAACGCTGTTTGCAAAACGTCCTGGTCAGATTGAGTATTTTCTTTTAGCCACTATGTGAAAAGAAACGGATTCATGTGTGTTTTCTGAAAAGCTGCAGAGAGCTTGCGTTCACTGCCCAGAAATGTTTCTTGTTTTTTCACTGCTCCCTCTTCTGAACCTCTTGAGCAGAAGTGGAGACTCCCACCTCTTCCTGCTCTTTAGGAAAGCAAACAGCAGAAGAGTGAGCTGTCCTCAAATGATGTCACTGTCGTCTGAACTGAGCTAACTAACTAGCGCTCATCAGCTCGAGTCTACATTAGCATCTGCTAGCATAACGCACCCAAAAACTCAAGGCAGGCTGCACAGCAGGTAGAGAAAGAACACACCAGGACTTTTTCTGTGACAGGTCTATGTTATACA